TAATCGCCCCGATTTAGTAAAAACATTTTTAAAAGAGTACACTAAACCCAAAATAAAACAATTTATATATTTCGAACATGAGACTCATAGGTCACAGTTTGTTAACGCAGTTATAGCTCTATATAAAAAGGATACCGTTCAATTTTTCGAATGTACACAGCGAGTAGTTTACGTAGAAGATGAAAATGAACAAAAAGAAATATCATGAAGTATCATAAAGGAAAAACTTGTCATAGAGGTATTCGTGAAACTACTTTAAAATTAAAGCGCACATATTTTTGGAATAACTTAGAACAAACAGTTGCTAGTGTAATAAATTCATGTGACGTATGCAAAAAAATGAAATATGACCGAAAACCATTCAAACCGGAATTACAACTAACTCAAACTCAGACAAAACCGTTTCAAGAATTGTTTATTGATATATTTAGTATTGACGGAAAATATTACTTAACCATAATAGATGCCTTTAGCAAATTAGGTAGAGCAAAGGAAATCTCAAATAGATCTACACCTGAGGTCGTAAAAGCTCTAATTAATTACTTTTCATATTACGGTATTCCCTCTAGAATCAGCTCAGATCCAGGTACCGAGTTTAATAATGCTCTACTCAAAGAAATGTTGTCATTTTATAAAATTGAATTACATATTGGAATTCCGCATAATCCTAACTCCATGGGAAAAATAGAGAGATTTCATTCCACATTAATAGAGTTATATGTATAGATTAGCAAAATATGAACAAAAATTTTCTGATGCTGCATCTATAATGACTTACGTAATAATGGCATATAATAAAACTATACATAGTACTACTGGTTTTACTCCACATGAAGTTGTGTTCGGACATACAGATTCGTCTAGTACCTTTGATGTTGACTTTAATAAACATTATACACAACAATTAGTCCAAGAACATGTTAAACGTACAAAATACCTATATAAATACTTAACAGACAGAATGATTCAACAAAAGGAAGTCACCAAATCTAAACGTGGTGGAGAACATACTTTTGATATACAAGTATGTTTTGATATACATAAAACGTTCCCATATATATAATGGCAACTAATGTATTTTTAAGCTAATTGACAATCAATATTATATCGACAGAAGCTGTCATTACTACTTAATTCTTAAAGTTAAACAATAAATTCCTGATACGATCCCACGCTTCCATTTAACATAAACATTAAAGCCATGCTTATAAAAATGAGGAACACAGGCCACCTAGGAGCATATTGTATCCAACCGCGGTTGGATCTGTTCATTAGGTTTAGTTTATTTAATAGTTTTCAGTATTAAATTATAAAAATAAAAATATTTTTTTTAATACTTTCCGAGAACGAAACTTGACTACGTACACCAAGTGTCAAAATAAATGCTTTGGTGTTTTGTAAACAGTAGGTTCAATTTTATTTTGTAGAATTAATAAGGTTATCTCTAATGAAAGCCAATGAGAAATTAATTAAAGTTATAATTTTTAGATAAACTAATGGTTCTATTTTGTATCATAGTGGTTGATAGACTGGTAAATACGAGTGGAAGGTTGTCACCGGTTAAGGAATAATGAAATGAAATTAATAAAAACAATTTTGATGCCCTAATGGCTTTACCCAAAAAAAAATTGGTAAGTTGACTTCCTAAAAACAATGTTTAGAAATCACAATATACTTGAATATTACTAGACAAGACTAATAGAATGTTGTGAAAGTTAAAATAAAACAACATAAAATTTTCCAGTGTTACACTATGCTCGGCATTCCTCTGCGGGATTGAATCAAAAAAGAACCTCTGCCACGTAACGTTGAATTCCTTATAAAGGAAACCTATAATTGGTTTAGCCATTCTTCTAACCGTCGACTATATTATTAAACCAGAATTAATAATATACTATAGTTGAATAATTAAATATAAATAATTAAGAATAAGTACAGAAATAATGGGCATTGCTTAATAATTATAATTTTTTTGTCAATAATTGACTTTATACCGTAAACCGTAACCCGTAACGTAACCCGTACCGTAAACCGTAACCCGTAACGTAACCCGTACCGTAAACCGTAACTCACGCTTGACCCTGCATTAGCTCATATATGACTGTATGACTGACGCTGCGCACTCTTCGCGCTCTACCTCAAAAACGGTTGATCGTATAAAAAAAAAAGTTTAGACAAAAGTTGTAGGGAATTTTATACTCTACAACTTTCATGATAGGTGAAAATATCATTTAAGCAATAGGAACCGAGATATTCGCAAAAAATCGTTTTTTGTGACCTTTGACCTTCAATATCTTAAGACGCGTTCGCACGATAGCATTTGTGACTTTTGAGACAATATTTAGGGCGACAAAACAAAGGTTTTTACCAATTTCCAGCTTATTATCCTTCATTCCGAGGTTGACCCCTTTTTTTATCTAATTTCACTGGGTTATGGTGTCAGGTAAGAATCGTTTTCATCCGATGATGACAGTGGCAACATCGGTCTGGAATTTAGAACACATTCAATTTCTACTAACACAATATCAATTTGTTCATATGTTAACGTTTTTTTCTGTGTAATTCTTTTAAGATAGTATTTAATACTTTTTACTGCAGCCTCCCAAAGACCACCAAAGGTAGGTGAATAAGATGGTATGAAATGGAAATTTATATTCTGTGTAGATGCATATTGGCAAACCTTCCTTTGATGTTTTTTTGATGACTAGGCGGTAAAGCTCTGCTAATTGATTCTGTACGCCTTTAAAAGTACTAACGTTATCAGAGTAGATTTCTCTGGGCAAATCCCTTCTGGAAATAAATCTTTTAAGGCACGCAAGATAAGACTCTGTAATAAGATCAGAGGGCACTTCAAGTTGTAACGCTTTAGTAGCAAAGCAAACAAATATACAAATATACCCTTTGCCAACAAGCTTAATATTTAGCCCAGCGAAATTAATAACAACTTTTTCAAACGGGCGACTCATAGCAGTCACACGGTCGGCTGGTAAAGAATCCATTAATTGCTTTGGCGCATCCGCCTTTAACCTTAAACAAGGTATACATTCACTCGCACTTAGGGGTCACAACGACGGACGTACGGTTTTAAGAGCTACGGCTGATTTCTGTTTTATATGTGATAAGTCACTTTCAGAAGGTGTTTCTGTGAATGTCGTACGTGGTTTACAAACTTTAAGAACTGCAAGTATTGAAAGGAATGATGGACATACGAGGGTCAAACTGAAAGTTCTTAGAACTGGCCACTTATAAACAATATAATAAAAAAATAATTCTAAAATTTGAAAATATAACTCTTTGCCAATATTACTGAGTATATATTTCATTCATTTGTCATTTGTTTTACGATTTGGCGGCAAATTGAAAATTGTCTGTGTCACGTCATCATGAATTTAACACGAGAAAATTTTCGTGCAATGATTTTTTATGACTTTCGATGTCATTTAAGTCAACAAGAAAGTTATGATAGACTACGATTGGCCTTTCACGATGAAGCCCCATCTCGTGCGACTGTTTACAACTGGTTTAATGAGTTTAAACGTGGTCGCACTAATCTCACTGATGATTTACGTGAGGGACGGCCTTCTACGGCGACGACTGAAGATAACATCTGTGTTGTGCGGCGTATGATAGAGACTGACAAAAGAGTGACCTATCAACAGATTCGGACAAGCTTAGGCATCGGTATGAGTCAAGTGCACAAAATCCTCCACGAACATTTAGCGGTCAGGAAGCTTTGCGCCCGGTGGATACCTCATAATTTGACTGAGGCTCAAAAACTCCATCGTGTGGATTGGTGTCGTAAAATGATTGAAAGATTTAACGGAGGTGACTCAAATGCTGTGTTCGACATACTAACAGGTGACGAAAGCTGGATTTACTGTTATGATCCTAAAACCAAAAGACAATCTGCTCAGTGGGTGTTTCCTTTCGAGGAGTTGCCAACTAAAGTGAAGAGAGATCGAAGTGCGGGAAAAAAAATGGTGGCCTCGTTCTTTGGAAGGATAGGTCATTTTGCAACAATTGTGTTAGAGGATCAAAAAACAGTTTCTGCAGAATGGTACACTACCAATTGTTTGCCACTTGTCTTGGAAAAAGTTCGAGAGAAACGACCTCGCAGTAGGATCCTCCTTCACCACGACAACGCCTCGTCGCACACCGCCAAGCGAACGATCGACTATTTGGCGACATCAAACGTTGAATTACTGGGTCACCCGCCGTATAGCCCCGACCTCGCGCCTTGTGATTTTTATTTATTTCCAAAAATTCAAGAAAAACTTAAAGGAAAGCGGTTTATGAATGCTGAAGAAGCGGTGGCTGCGTATCGCGATGCCATTGAAGAGACCCCTAAGGACGAGTGGGCAAAGTGCTTTTCCCAGTGGTTCCATCGCATGCAGCGGTATATTGACGTGAATGGACAATATTTTGAAAAGATATAATAAAACTAATAACTGGCTAATGTAATCAGTTTTTGATTTTCTAAGAACTTTCAGTTTGACCCTCGTATAAACTATTTAAATACTTTAAGTTCTGTAAATGTGCATTCCGAGTGTCGAAAAGTGTACACTAGCAAAAATGTTATTGCTGCATCGAAACGACGCACAGAAGAGAGTGAACCTTCAACTTCAAGTGCACCTCGTAAAAAAAGAAATGAAACGTTTGATTTTAAAAATTTGTGCTTATTTTGTAGCCATGAGGCTAATGAAGCAGCAGAAAGGAAAAAAAAAGCATCGACGGACAATAAGTAATGTAAGTACTCTTGCATTCAAAGACAACGTAATTAAGAAAGCAGCAGAACGAAACGATTCCTTTGGAGAACTAATAAAGGAACGTATACTTTACCAGTATGATTTGATCGCTGCTGAAGCAAAGTATCATACTATTTGCTATACCAACTTTTTAACCCGTGTACCATCTGCAGATAAGAACCCTTGCCAAGATGATCAAGTCACTCAAGCAATGTAGGAGATTTTTAGTTATATAGAAAATAATGCAGATTCTCAATTTACTTTGAAAGAGCTTAAAGATGTCCCTACAGAGTACATGCCCGACGATAAGTCAATTATTAAAAAACTACAACAAAAGTATTTAACTGATATAATAATCACCAAAAAAATAGGATCATTTACAATTATATCCTTCCGTGATACACAGGTTAATGTTTTATCAAAAGCTTGGTACGAAAATAAAAAAAAGTACTCCTGCAGAAGAGCGTTTACGGATTGTAGAAGCTGCTGCGGCTATTATTAGGGAAGATATTAGATCATCTGTCGTTGAAACTAAGACGTATCCACCTCCGAATAAAATGCTAGATGATATTAATGAAGAAATACCAAAAACATTATCACATTTTTTGGAAGAAATTATATTAAAAAATAGAAAAGGAGAAGTAGATCATTTAAAAACGAAATGCACATCTATCAGTCACGCAATAATGTCTTCGATACGAGAACGGTCATTTTCGTCACAGCTACTATTAGGCCTTTCTGTATTTCTTCACAGAAGATATGGATCCAAAAAATTATTGGATGTTTTATCAAATTTAGGATTTGCTGCATCATATAGTAATACCTTACAGTATGAAGTTTCAGCAGTTTACCATCCACAGCCTCGTATTTTATCATCAGAGTCAGGTGCGTTTGTACAATATGTTGGAGACAATGCAGATATTAATGTCAGTACTCTTGACGGTAATAATACTCTTCACGTTATGGGAATGATAAAAATAGTTACTCCGAAAGATGCTGTGATTTATGATGATCGCATAAAAAAATGTACAACTAAACCAAGTGCAAAGGAGTTGGCAACAATATCACATATATCTCTTTTAGCATATGAAAAGCCAGTTGTACCTGGGTATAGCAAGATTCAAGTTCAAAATGTACATGATGATCAAGTACTAATTGAAAAAAATATTGATGCAGTTGATTTTTTGTGGTTATATGGAAAATGGAAGAATTTTTCACCGTTGCCAGGATGGAATGGCTATCTTGAACAACTTACGGAAAATAATAAGAATTTTTCAACTTCTCAGGTTATATTTCTACCTTTCATTGATCATCCTGCCAGTAATTTAGACACAATTTATACCACTTTACATTGTGCTATAAATATTGCCAAGTCACATCAACAAAAAGCGTGCATAATTACATTTGATCAACCCCTGTACTCTAAAGCACGTGAAATGGTTGCTGCGTCAGATACAAACTCAGACTTGTCTAAAACAGTTGTCAAACTAGGAGGATTTCATATGCTCATGTCCTTTCTTGGATGCATAGGATATGTAATGGACGGTAGTGGTCTCAAGGAAGCTTTAAGCACAATATATGCTACAAATTCGGTCGACAAAATGTTGAATGGTCACGCTTATGCAAGAAGTATGATAAAACTAGAGGAGACAATGGATGAACAGACTTTTGAGAACTTTAAAAACGGATTCTTTACTGTAAAACGAACTGAAAAATTTAATTCTGGTACATGGCCAGACATGGTAATCGAGCAAAGTCTTATGAAATCTATGAAGACAGAAGGAGGAGTATCTCGAGGCCGAAGTACACAAAAAAGTGTTCTATGTAAGTGGGTATATGGTATGTATGCCACGAATACAATTTGTGAAGAAATTGAACGGTTTTGTAAAATTTCCTTCGATTCTGTAGACCAACATGTTGATGCTAGAGATTCACGAATAAAAAGGGATAATACTGATGTAAATGAGCTGGTTGACTGGTTTACGCTTCATAATCCCTTTCCAAATACGAATCAGTTGGTATCCTTAGCTTCAGGAATTGTTGGAAATGACCAAATTAATTGTCACAGAGCCCTTGAAATCGGATTGCAATCTATGGTAAAGATAACTGGTTTGAACTTTAATGAGATAAAGTTAAAACGCGTCGATAAGGTTTTACCGCTTTCAGCCGTTAACAAATCTGTCAAAATTAATGATTGTAAAGTCTCTGTAGATCCATTGTTACTTTTCCAGAGAATAACTGTAAGTAAAAAATTTGAAAGTAATCTACAAGAATATCTTCAATATGAACTAAGCCCGTATCCGACATCTTTATTTGATAGTAATGGCATGAGAAAAACCACAAAAGCGACATTATATGACAATATGGTACCTGTCGATATCGATCTTGATGAAAATAATGTAACGTACGTTGTCGATGGTGGATTTCTTCTGCATCGCGTCGTGTGGAGCAAAGACGATACTTTCTCCATTATTTTAGATAAATACATTAAATATTTACAAACACATTATGGCTCGAAAATCGTTGTTGTATTTGACGGATATTCGGACTATAGTAAAAATATTAAAGCAATGGAACAACAAAGAAGAACTGCAGCACTTTCAAAATCATATGAAGTTTGTTTTGACGAAACAATGATTGTGCCAATCAGCCAAGCAAAATTTTTATCAAATAAGTCGAATAAAAAAAAATTATAGACATGCTTGCTGAAAAATTAAAAACTGTTAATATCACATCAAAACAAGCCACAGATGATGCTGATGTTCTTATCATAAACACAGCTATTGCCTTATCAGAACAACAAAACACTGTCGTCATCATAGGAGAAGATATTGATTTGCTCGTTATTTTAATTGGACGTACTCAATCACATCAACAGGAAATTTATTTTAAAAAGTTGGCAAAGGCAATGTTAAGACACAAATATACTCTTCTAAAAGTTTTGACCAATATCCTCGTATTAAAAAACACATTTTATTTTTACACGCATTTAGTGGCTGTGACACGACTTCTGCGCTATTTAAAAAAGGAAAAAGAACTGTTACTAGAGCATTGGAGAAAATTACCAATTTGGATAAACTGGTGGAAGTATTTCAACAAGAAAACTGCCCCGTACAAACTTTATTTGAAAATGGAGTGCGCATCTTTTTGGCATTATATAATGCTCCAAAATCTGAGCACAACCTTGATTATTTCCGCTACAAGCAATTCATCAAATTAACAAAACTAAATAAATCTGTACAATTGTCAACACTTCCACCAACAAGTGTAGCAGCCCGTCAACATATGAATCGTGTCTACTACCAGATTCAAACGTGGCTAGGGAAGAACTTAGAACCTCAAGAATGGGGCTGGAAGCTTGAAAATGAAATCCTGGAGCCCATAACAACGTTATGACCTCCAGCACCGGCCGAACTACTAAACACAATATTTTGCAATTGCAAAAATGGTTGTGGTCCCCTCTGTGGATGCAGAAAATCAGGGCTACTATGTTCTTTATCTTGTGGCCAGTGCAATGGACAAGCTTGCCTCAACGCTCCACTATATCCAAGTAATCCCGATGAAGAAAGCACATACGATCCTGAAATTCTAGAAGGTTTGGAAATGAATATGACCGATAATGAGGATGATGACAATGAATTAAATATTTTAGAGCGACAACAAGAAGAAGACGACGAAGAAGAAGATAACTAGCTTCCATTCGCAATTTCATTCGATTCACAAATTATTTTAATATTTAAACTCATATTTTAATAAATGTATAACATGCCATATTTAATGATAAATAAAGGTATATCTAAAATATATTTCCTTACTGTCTTTTTATTTTAAAATATAATTAAAATAGATAATCCAGAATTAATAATATACTATAGTTGAATAATTAAATATAAATAATTAATAATAAGTACAGAAATAATGGGCATTGCTTAATAATTATAATTTTTTTGTCAATAATTGACTTTATACAACGTACTGATAACCGTAACTCACGCTTGACCCTGCATTAGCTCATATATGACTGTACGCTGCGCACTCTTCGCGCTCTACCTCAAAAACGATTGATCGTATAAAAAAAAAGTTTAGACAAAAGTTGTAGAGAATTTTATACTCTACAACTTTCATGATAGGTGAAAATATCATTTAAGCAATAGGAACCGAGATATTCGCGAAAAATCGTTTTTTGTGACCTTTGACCTTCAATATCTTAAGACGCGGACACGATAGCATTTGTGACTTTTGAGACAATATTTAGGGTGACAAAACAAAGGTTTTTACCAATTTCCAGCTTATTATCTTTCATTCCGAGGTGAAACACCTAATATGACTGGGCTACCAGGTCATTTTTTAATTGGCTATGCACTTACTATGTACCCTGAAAGTGATTTTGTTGATATTCCAGAAAATCGCCTTAAATTCTGGCAATTACTCAACTTAATCAGTCATTTTTAAAAATATGGTATAAACAATATCTTAATAAATTGCAAAACAAACCCAAAAGGAAATATACCACAGCCAATGTAACAGGAGGTAGGCTCGTAATATTAAGAGAAGATAACGTACCTATCGTGTATTGGTCTATGGCTCATATAACAAAAATCTTTCCAGATTATGATGGTCTTGTAAGGACAGTTGAAGTTAAAACTTCCTATGGTAAAATACATATCCGTTCCATTTTAAAAACAAGCATTTTACCCATTGAAGAGTCATTATAAATTTGGTTAGTTCTAATAAGACATAAGTTAATAAAGATTGAGTACAATTAGGCTGGAGTTCACCGACTTTCTAATCAAGTGATTAGTACTTAATCAGTACATTAAAGACATTTTTGTGTGAAATACCTTTACAATTTTTACCCAGTCGTGGTAGAGAAGTTGGATCGACAATTTTTGGATTTACATCCGATGCTACACTGGCGTCTTTTGTACCAAAAGCTAACAAATCTGTGGTTGTTTTATCCAGCATGCATCATACGCCAACTATTGATTCGGATATGGAAAAGCCAGAAATGATCGCATTTTACAACAGCACCAAGGGCGGCGTGGAAATGTTAGATCAAAAATGTGCAATATACTCCACGTCTAGACGAACTCAACGATGGCCAATGGCAATTATTTATAGAATTTTGGACATATCTTCAGTAAACGCGTACACAGTCAGTAATATGAACCAAGCGCAGTCAAAAGTACCACGGATGATTTTCATAAAGAACGACGTCTAAATTGTTTTGATTTACAAAGAGAACTCCATACGTCGAATTCTAAAAATTGACCAAATTCCCAGTACATCTTCTACAGAGTCATCTGGAAAACTTGAAAAACGAAAAACATGTTCGACGTTCGATCCCAAAAATAAAACGCAAAATATGTGTTTTACGTTTAAGAACCCAATTTGCATATAATGCAGTCAAAAAATGTGCGTGAGTTGTCGCCAGCATTTGTAAATGTTTGTGCCTTGTAATTTTGAAAAAATTGAGATTTGACTGTGCCAAAAATGATTCTATGTTATAAGTATAATATTATTTAACTTTATATAAATAAGTAAGAATATCTGTTTTAAGGATTGGTCCTGACAGATCGCATTTTTCTTTAGTTCCTATTTTTTTTCCTATAATTTGTAAACTTGTGATAATTGTTGCTTTTAATACTTTTTCGTAAACTTGCAAAAGTTAAACTATAAAAAGATGTTACATGATTGAAGAGTCTTTATGAATATTAAGACGTCATTTTAATTCACCCCATTATTTCAACTTTATTGTGGAAGATTAGCAAGCAGTCTCTAGGACCGACGTCAGGTGGTAGTGTATCAGGAATACACGTCAGGTGGCTGAGGGTTAAATTGTAATCATATTTGATTATTTTCTGTGATACTAATAATAATTGTTTCTATCTTCCTTGCATATATTTTAGAATAAAGGTAATATAAAAGATAAATAATAAATGTGATTTATATAATGATTATTTAATTGTAATAAACATCTATTTATTCAAGATTAGCTTATCACTAGGCTAAAGCTATTAATAAATTGTAATCATATTTGATTATTTTCCGTAATACAAATTTTTGAGAAATTGTTTTCATCTTTCATCTTGTAATAAAGATTTTTACATTAAGGATTACAGTGCCTCTAATACAATTAATAATTATACTTATAATTGAATATAATTATTTTATTGTTATAAAGAAAGCCGATTGAATCATTTTACGAAAAGTAACATCTTTCCTTTATTTTCCTAATATGAATAAAACTCATTTAATAAAATAAATATAAATGAAAAAAAATCACATTATTAGTTATATATACAGCCTTGGCCAAAAGTATTAGGCACCCCCAATAAAGTTGCCGCACACCTGTGCTATTTGAACAATAAGTAAATATTATTATTAAAAGTATTACCGGTGTCATTATACGTTATTTAAAACGATGGGCGTCGTATTGTAGTGACCATAAAACATCTGGTGCATGAATAGTAAAATATGCCTTTCTTACTCATCGCTTCCTATTGACTTTCGGTCAGTCTGCTTTTGGAAATCTTAGTGTAAAGATTGTACATTTGTAGTTTTGCGATTAAAGTGAGAAAAGAATTAACTGAAAATGACAAAAAAAAGCGAAATCAGTGTTGAAAATCGTGTAAAAATCCAACTTTTACATGAGCAAGGAAAAACACAAAAGGAAATTGCAAAGTTAGTAAAATGTTCGCGGTGTGCGGTGCAATCTGCTATCAAACGATTCGCGGAAACTGGTAGTCATGCAAATAAACCAAGAACTGGCAGAAAACGTGTCACTACACGTCGTCAGGACAGGAAACTTATCCGTGAATCTGTGAAAGACAGGAAAAAAACTTCTTCGGAGCTAGCTGCGGCTTTAAGTGAAGAATCTGGAAAGCCGATAAGTGCTCGAACTCCAAGAAGGAGGCTAGTAGAAGCAGGCTTAAAAGGCTGCAAAGCCAGGAAGAAGCCGTGACTTTCAGAGGACAACAGAAGAAAACGACTTAATTGGGCTCTAATGGCCCGGCTACACGCTCCGTCTTACCTGAGAGCATGCCTGCACAAACCTGTTTGTACAGGTAAGCGCGTGCGTGTGGACGGCAAGACGGTAGCTCGCGCAGTCCTAGAAGCGCGGCCTTGTGCAATCGTTGACTTGCTGAAGATTTGGACTGCGCAAACTTGGCCTGCACGGTTTTACTTGCGCGTGTGGCCGGTTATTCAAGCCGCGCTTCAGTCCGAGAATTATTCAGGAAGTGCACGTCGCAATAAAAAAGATGAGTGATATAAGAAGTTACTCGAAGGAATTTTTAACTCAATTCATAGAACTATATAAATCGTTGCCGGCTTTATGGAAAATTAAAAGTAAGGAATACTCTGACCGGAACAAGAAAAATGAAGCTTATCATATATTGATTGAAAAGTTAAAGGAGGTATGTAAGCAGAATAACTACTATCTTATTTTATTATCTATCAGGTACCTAAGTTATAGGTACAAATGAACCACCAGTTGTATAAAGGGAATAAACGCCAAATTTTGAAAAATCACTTTTTGATACCAAATTGATCTTAAGTAGGGGATTCGTGCGTTAGGCTCAAGAGAGAAATAAAAACCACACTGTGTACTTGGCAAAATGCGATCTCAAATTTTTGTCAGTTGTAAGAAGGATATAAATCCGGGATTTATTTCTTTCTTACAACTGATGCAATA